CATAATCTTAATGGAATTTTTCAATGTTTCTCAGGTCCCGTAGCTGTTATCGTTCTTTCCACTATTGATGGGAGGTTTCCTTCCTAACCTTTTATTTGGAGTAGTGTGGACGGTCAATACATTGATAATGTCATTATCTTTCTGTTTGGGAAAAAAAAACGCATCAGTCGCGGAATGCCTTCATTAATCTCCCTTTATAACTGTAATGGTAATATTAGCAATTTCCTTATAAGGAAACATTTGGCATTTATTGGCTAAGTAAATAGTCATTGACCGAGCAGATTGTCGGTTGAATTTCATCAAACATTTCCTTAAAACAATTTCCAGGATTTCAAGTTCACTAACTTTTGTCGCTCTTTTCAGTATTGATAGAGGTTTCCTTCCTAACCTTTTGTTTGAAGTCGTGTGGAATGTCAACATCCTGATTATGTCAGCATTTTCTTTTCGAGCTGCATATGCTAATGATTTTAGCTGTTGCTTCTGTTGGAAGTCCTCGAGTGATATGGTTCTTGTTATTTGGTACAGTGATTTGTGATTTTGTAGCACCCGTCTACGATATCCGAAGAAGTATGGTCCTCGCTAAGACCAACAGGATTCTTTCTCTCGAAACCGTTTTTTTAACAATCGATATGAGGAAACATTGGTATACAGCCGACAGTTTAGATATTTCAGAATAAGCTTGACGCCATGTACGATATCCATATGAATGTCTCTGACTTATGAGACTATTTAATGACATAACTCGAGTTATTAGATTAATGTTTTGGTTTCATAACAGCTTGCGGTGTTATTAGGTCAATGTTTTGGTTTCGTGACAGCTTTCGGTGTTATTAGGTTAATGCTTTGGTTTTGTAACAGCTTGCGGTGTTATTGGGTTAATGTTTTGGTTTTGTGACAGCTTGCAGTGTTATTAGGTCAATGTTTTGGTTTCGTAACAGCTTTCGGTGTTATTAGGTTAATGCTTTGGTTTTGTAACAGCTTACGGTGTTATTGGGTTAATGTTTTGGTTTTGTGACAGATTGCGGTGTTATTAGGTCAATGCTTTGGTTTTGTAACAGCTTGCTTTGTTATTGGGTTAATGTTTTGGTTTCGTGACAGCTTTCGGTGTTATTACGTTAATGCTTTGGTTTTGTAACAGCTTGCGGTGTTATTGGGTTAATGTTTTGGTTTCGTAACAGCTTTCGGTGTTATTAGGTTAATACTTTGGTTTTGTAACAGCTTGCGGTGTTATTGGGTTAATGTTTTGGTTTTGTGACAGATTGCGGTGTTATTAGGTCAATGCTTTGGTTTTGTAACAGCTTGCTTTGTTATTGGGTTAATGTTTTGGTTTCGTGACAGCTTTCGGTGTTATTAGGTTAATGCTTTGGTTTTGTAACAGCTTGCGGTGTTACTGGTTTAATGTTTTGGTTTTGTGACAGCTTGCGTTGTTATTAGGTCAATGTTTTGGTTTCGTAACAGCTTTCGGTGTTATTAGGTTAATGTTTTGGTTTTATAGCAGCTTGTGGTATTATTAAGTTAATGTTTAGGTTTCGTAACAGCTCGCGGTGTTATTAGGTTAATGTTTTGGTTTCGTAACAGCTTGCGGTGTTGGGTGAAACTATCCATATAACAGCCTATTTTTTTTATCTTCTATATATGAAATATGTTGTAACTGCTCCATACACCGAGGTATTTGAAGTGTTTAGTAGTTACCAATTCTACATCCTAAATTTTTATGAAGGATTCAAGGTACGTGCTGTCTTTGACTTCATTCCAATTCCAGATTATTGTCTCTGTTTTGGAAAGGTTTATATTGAGTCCTTTTTCCTTGAATAGTTCGGAAATGATGCCAACTTTTTTTTTATTAAGATCATTCTTGTCACTATGATAGCGCCACCCCCTCCGCCTCTATCCTCTGTAAATTCGGCTCGAAATTAGCAGAATGATTTACTTCCGCTTCATGTGAGTCAACGGGTTCCCTTAGGAAGAGGTTCCCGACCATGGAGACAACGGCTACCATGCTTCAGGCTCGCTACATCTCTCCCTGGTCGTTTGTGTCCTTTAAGCTTGAGATCCCTGATACAAACGAAGCGAGATTTGGCTCATATGTGCGTGAACTTCTAACATATTTTCAAAATTCCCAACCCTTCAGAAAGTACACTCAACTTCAAATCTCGCTTTGGATTATAATGGCGTTGGTCTGGCAATGGTTCCGTTAATAATTGTCTTCAGCTTCCGTGGGATTTGTGGGTGGAGTATTTTTCTTTTACACACACACACACAGATATATATATATATATATATATATATATATATATATATATATATATATATAACTTTTCCCTTCTTCCTCGACCCGTCGTTCTCACCCAGATAACGATACACTCCATATTGTTGTTACACCCAGTTGACGATCAAGTTTCTCTATTTCCCCTTGGGTCAGTAAAAGGACGGACTACAAAAGCTTGTGTCGATTTTGTAGTGTGTCCACCCTGTCCCTGGGCGCTAAGTATTTTTTCATTTCAGCAGGCAGAAAGCAAATAAATAAATTGAATAAAAAATGAATAGAAATAAAAAAACAAAAAAAAAGAGGTCCGTAAAAAAACAGAAAAAATTCCCGCGTTTTTTTTTTTTTTTTTTAAGTTACGTCCGAACATGCGCACAACTGACATAGAAGATATTACCCAGAACGTAGTATAGTATTTTTCAGCTTGGACGTGCCTAGTGGGTGAGGCGGTTGAGCTCCTTTCTACCGGCGTCCATCGCTGTATTCGAGATCAGATCAAATCCAGCAGGTTGAAATAAAGATTTTCTAGGATTCACTTCGACTTCAAATTGCAGACGCTTATCTTTTGGACCAGACGATTCTAAAGAACTACCAAGGTAGTTCTTTTCCAAATAGTAACCACCAAATTTTTACCCAAATCTATCTCCCCACACCCTCACGTTCGTGAACTGTAAGTTCAACTTACTATGCGTTGCTACTGTGATTTTTATGAGAAAGGATTTTTTTATCACGGGATAGAGCTTCAAACGCCATGATAAACTGGATATGCTGTCTTTCTCCTAAACTGGTTGCCAGACAAGGCTGAAGAGCTTATTTTGCCTTAATATATAACTTAAAAGAGAGACAATGGATTAATTCTTATTCCACTAGCAGCCTACTAATTACGAATATAAAGGCTTTATTTTTCATGAATGATGTAATTCGATAGTCAGTCAGTCTCCAATACATGATACACGCTTAGGCAATTATGTATCTG